GGATTTTCATTACGATTAAAACCAAATGATGGTTTTGCTTTAATTTTCTCATTACTATCGCCATGATGTTTATACCAATCACGTAACCAGACAATTAATTTTTGTACACAAGATTTGTCACCTTGTTGTCCAACGAGTTGTTTTATTGTTTCAGGTTTATATTTATCTACCCCTAGAATGAAGAAAATAAATATTTATCGATATTCATAACTTTCTTTACTTACATAATAAAGATGATTCATCAACGGATACTTTCGAAATGGACGTAGGATTTGAATCTGTTGTCTTCTTTCCATTTAACGAAGAATTTCGTTTTAATTTTGTCGAAGAAGACTCTGTTGTCCTGCTTGCAGTTGAAGAGTCTCGTTTTAATTTTTTTGAAGTCGATTCTGATGCTTGATCTGGATCTATAGTCGGCTTTGAATTTCGTTTTGACTTCACTGAAGATGATTCTTCATCGCCTGGACGTGTTCGTATCATTTCAAGAAGATCATCTTCGGAAATAATCTTAATTTTTATTTCTTTTGCTTTAGTAATTTTTCCTTCACTAACATCACGACCAGTAAGAAGATAATTTGTCTTTCCACTAATTGCTGTTGTTACTCGACCACCATATTTTTCTATTAATTTTTTACATTCATCACGTTCTAATGATTCCAGTACACCTAAATAAATAACCATAAGTGAAATATTTTCTCAAAAAAGAATTTTTATACCTGATATAACAAATGCTAAATCTTTTAGACAATTTTTTTCTCCATCTGGTATTGTTTTCGAACCAGGTGCATCAGGTCCACCTCTATTTATAAATGATTTATAACTTTCCACACGTTTCTTCTTTTCGAATGGATCAACTTCTTTTAATTTCATTTTTTTCGGTGGACTTGCTTCAGGAACAGGTTTAGTTACAGTTGGTACAACTTTCTCATCAGGTTTTTTCTTTTCGAATGGATCAGCTTCTTTTAATTTCATTTTCTTCGCTGGACTTGTTTCAGGAATAGGTTTAGTTACAGTTGGTACAACTTTTTCACTAGATTTTTTATTTACAATCGGTTTTGGTTCAACTTTTGGTAGTTCAACTACATCTTCATCTTGATCTCGCGGACGCTAATATAATAAAAAATACATATTATTAATCATTAATATATATATATTAATTACTTTTTTATTTGTTGATGGAACTTTTTTGAAAAAATTACGAATATCCGACATTCTCGATTTCAAATTGTGACAAGTATATGAGGCAACATATTCAATTTATATCTATGTACATACATTTGACGAATGATATTTTATCGTGACAATCAATGTCAATCAACAGAGGTAAGCAAGAGAATATAATGAATGATAAAACAACCAATGTATGTCGAGTTTGTTTGATAAGTTTATTCATTAGAAAAATTTTTTTCTTTAAAACATGGTTGTTCCACAATCTCAAGTAGCATCAAATGAATCTAGATTAGAACTAGATAAAAATAAGAAGAATTACATGTAAGAAGCAAACTAAAGGAAATCTTTATATGTCTAATATTTAATTTTAGTAATACAATAACTCTATCAAAACGTTTATCCGATCGTTATTCAGGTCATCATTCATTACAGAATATATTTAATCCTGAATCATGTCGTTTACGTGATAAGTAAGATAAAATGATTTTTAAACCAAATAAATTTTCCTTCGTCTAGATTTAAACAAATGT